GTCCCTCCGTGCATCCGCCTCTGTGGACAGTGGGCAGGGTGGGATCCCTGAGGCCGCCCCATGGCTGGTGGCCTCCTGGCTGGCTGCGTGCGCGCCCCCAAGGGGCCTCCAGGTGGGACTGCACTTGACCCTTTTTTCCAGGGTAGGGGTGGGGTGAGAGGGAAGGGCCACCCCGCCAGTTATTGGTTGTTTGCTTGTTTTTAACTGTGTGTGTGTGTGTGTGTGTCTTTGAGCTGGATGGCAGCGCTGACGGGTGTTCTGGTATTCAGTAGTCCACACACATTGTGTTTCCCGTGTCGACGGCCACACCTGCCTGCAGTGCTTGCTGTTCCCATGTGGAAGGGTCCTTGCACAAAGGCTGTCCTTCTGGTCTCCAAAGGTTCAGGATCCTTTTTTTAAAAAAACAAACAGTTGTATTGATACTTAGTCCACGTATCAAACAACTCAGCAGTCCTGTCCTGCCAAAAAGAGCTGTCCAGTCATCAGCACTGCCCATTTTAGGACATTTTCTTCATCTCGTGCTCATTGTTAGGAGCTCCCCATCTGCCACTAACCGCCCTGGCCACACCCGAAGGAGCCCTGAACCCAGTAGCTGCCCCTAGAGATTTCCCATCCTGGATTCCATCTGCAGAAAAACACACTCTCAGAACGCTAACAACCAAGTGAGACAGAGGAAAACCCAGTAGGAAAGAAAGTAGAAAGCACTCAAACTGGAGCAAGCTTAAAATGGGCAGAGGGGAGACCAACTGAGTGCTGTTGTTCGGCTCAGCGACCCCAGGCACGGCAGAGGGAAACCCCCCGGCCCTGCGCCGGCCTCTCCATGGTGCCTGTACCCGAGCCCCTGTGGACGCAGCCACCGTGTCCGTCCATCTGCTCGAGAGCCTTCCTCACTGCCGTCCGCTCTACCAAACCTGACGCTCTTCCTCCTGACAACACACGTCCACAGTGTGAGATGCCGTCTGGCCACCCGTGCCTCTGAGGGCCACTCTGGGCACTTCTTCCCAGACATTAGGGTTTGTCCTTTCACAGCCCCAGGGACTTGCGTCTCCTTCTCCAGCCCCACCACTCAAATGCACTGATTCACTTCTGGCCTTCCTTGGCCCGGGCCCTACTTTCTCATATGCAAGCGCAGCCATGGAGAAGGCGGGGCCGGGTCAGGCGCCTGAGTCCAAGGCAGCCTTGCTCTTCCACACACGCACAGTGTCCCCTGTTCTGCTCGCACTGCTGCCTCCTCATCAAGTGATGAGGGCTTGCTGGATTTTAACCTGGCTGCATCTGCTGTCATCACATTCCATTCGCTCCGGCTGCTCCCAGCCTGGTTCCTGTCAGAGGGGCTTCACCGGGTGCCTCACCCACCTGTTTAATGTGTCAAGTGAGAGCTGGAGTCACAAGGTTGAGGAGTCTAAGTTACCGGGAGGGACAGGCGAGCCTCGGGGCTCCTTCTGCCCCTGGGCTGAAGGGTTGACTAAGGGCCACATCTCGGGGCCCCACCAGTTCCTGTCCTGTCAGCCAGCCTCCTCTCTGGACATTTTCGGCCCACTCTGCCCAGGGCCTTTCCAGGCCCTTTGGATTTGCATGTGTGATGTTGGCTTTCAAGCACAGAGGAGGGCAGGGGACCTGGGGGCACAGGGAGGTGAGTGCCACCAGACCTCAGGGCCTCAGGAAGGTGGGAGGTCCTGGGGGAGGCCAGGGCCGGCTGGGGCGGGAGCAGATCCAATGTAGAGTTTGGTGGCCTTTCTAGGACCCTGAGCCCATTGCATGGCACTGGCGGAGTGGACCCAGCCTTCCGTGAGCTTGGCACTCGCCACCCACCCTGTAAGACTCCTTGGGTGGAGGAGGGAACAGGAGCGTGCGTATATGCCCCCCAAAGCTCTGAGAGAGGAGCCTTCCTGCCCCCTCCAGTGGCCCCAGCATTCCCAGGCTTGGGGGCCTCACCCCTCCCCTCTTTGCCTCCATCTCCACGGGGCTGCCTTTCCGGTGTGTTCTCTCTCCTACAAGGACTTTCCCATTGGACTTAAGCACCGGCTAAATCCAGGGTTGCGTGGATGGTGGGAGGATATGGGGGTGGAGGAGGATGGGTGGTAGGTGCATGAAGGGGTGGGTCATGGCTGGATCGATAGGATAGGCCGATGGGAGAATAGAGGAGGGTTGATGGAGCCGGGAAGACCAGGGGGTGGGTCGTGGCTGGCCGGATAGGCTAGACGAACGAACGGAGAGAGGGGCTGGGGATGGAGGAATGGTTGGGGGGGTGAGAGGTGCATGGAAGACGATCAGCAGAGGAGGAAGTGTACGGGACCTTAGGCAATAACTGCGCTTCCTCTGCTGTTGATGCGTCTGAATTACCGTCTCTAATGCGGTGAGCAGCCGCGTGTGCGGGGAAGGGCGTCTCTGATGCAGTGCGCAGCCGCGTGCGTGGGAGGGGCGGTCCCTCTCTGGGTGGGGCGGTCCAACACACCGAGCACCGACCTGGACACTCCCCCGGGTCACTCCACACGCCCCCCCAAGACCTGTGTGTGCCGAGGACAGCAAGGAGACTGGGCCCCAGGTTAACCGAGGACTTGTCTGACCCCCTAGGTTCGTGCTGGCCGTGGGGAGCGCTGTCTTCGACGCGATGTTCAACGGAGGCATGGCCACCACCTCCACGGAGATTGAACTTCCCGACGTGGAGCCCGCCGCCTTCCTGGCCCTGCTGAAGTGAGCGCGCCCCCGGTGGGGGTGGGCGGGGCCGGGCCATGGCCACAGTCCACAGAGTGGGGGTCTGGCCCTCCCCTCCGCGGGCGGCACCGGCGTCCCTGGGTCAGCAGTCTGTTTGTCTCACTGTGATGTCATTCGCATGCCGGGATGCCCTCAGGAGCCCTGGTGGCGGAGTGGGTACCCTCAGGCCGGTGAGCCCAAGGTCAGCAGGTCAAACTCCAGCCCCTCCAAGGGAGAGAGACGCGCTTTCTCCTCCCGTGAAGACGTGGGCCGCTGTGAGTGGGCATCAGCAGCGGGCAGAGAGTTAGACAGCTGGGCTTCACGCCCACAGCCGGCCGCTTCGAGGCCTTTCATGCATCCACAGCTGCTCTGCGGTCACCACTGTTGAGTTCCAGAACGTTCCTTAGGTTAACCCAGAGGGAGAACCCACACCCCGTACTGCCCCACCAAGCTCTGCAGCCGCCTGTCCACTTCTGGTTTGCAGACATGCTCGTCCCGGAAGCTCTGCCCAGTGTAGCCTCTTGCCCTCCCCTCCCACCGAGCCTGGTGGTGTTTCGTGAGAGAGAGTTTATGGCAAAATGAAAAGATGGTGGCATTCTGACCATGTCTGCCCTCCTGTGGCCCAGCCACTGTGTGGCAGGAACTGGACCTCTGTCCTCTCACTGGCTGAGCAGCACCCAGCAGTGGGCCTGGCCCGTGCGCTATCTGCAAACCACCGTCTGATGGTTGTGTGCTTGTGGGTCAGCCGGGCAACCCCTTCAGGGCTTCATAAGCAGCATGCCTCCTGGGTAGACAGTGAGGCCGGACATGCTGGGTCTGTCTTGGGGGGGGGGGGTGATTCCCCCATGCTTAGTCTCCTGAGGGGCCACCAGAGTGGATGGCCCCACCCCTCTGAGTTCCCCGCAGCTGCGGAAGGTCAATTTCTCCCAGTTCTGTTATCCTCACCCCACTGTGTCCAGGTGGGCAGCAGTGCAGTGCACCTTTGTCTGAGGCCCATCATCTGGTCCCCAGCGGGCTGGACCGCGCACGCGGAGGCCTGGCCCTGGGGTGCGAGCGTGAAAGCCCCCGTCTGAGGACAGGTCCCTGGGCGCGGGAGGGCAGTGGACACGTCGTCGCGCGCCTGTGGGCCCTGCCCCTGTCACGTGTTCGCAGGCTGCAGCCTTGCGCTGGGGTGCCCCCAGCTCCGAGCATGTCATCCGGGTTCCGGAGGGTGCGGGGGCGGCCCGGGGTGCAGCAGCACGACCCTCCTCCTGCTCCTCAGGTTCCTCTACTCGGACGAGGTTCAGATCGGGCCCGAGACGGTCATGACCACCCTCTACACCGCCAAGAAGTACGCCGTGCCGGCCCTGGAGGCGCACTGCGTGGAGTTCCTGAAGAAGAACCTGCGCGCCGACAACGCCTTCATGCTGCTCACGCAGGTGCGCGCGCGCGGGGCGGGCCGCGCGGCCTCTCGGACATGGGCGCCTCGCTTGACCGCGCCGTGCGGGCACAGCCGCCTTCTATTGCCGCTGGTTGCCAGTCAGGATTCTGGTGTGTGCCCGTGACCGCTGGGGTCCCTCCCACCTCGCGGGCTTCTCCCCCTCTGTCGGCAGCCTCCTGGTGCACACAGCCCCTCCCCGTCCCCCCCCCCGCCCCCAACCAGTCCACTCCTGTCTCTGTGGGCCTTTGCAGAGGAAGGGTTCCTCCGGGCGGCGCGGGGCCATCTGCGTGGGGCCCATCTATGTGCGAGTCTCTCTGACCGAGTCACAGACCCTGGCCAGCATGGACCCCACCGTTTGCTCCCTGTGGTGCCCACAGCCACGTGCGGTGCCCCACCTGGGGGCTCACAGTCCGGCGTGATTCTGTGTCTGAGGTTCCGAGGTGACACGCGTCACCCCAGAGCGGTGTGCATTTAACCCGTCCTGCGGGGATTGTGCCCCTGTAACCCATGCCATGGCGTCCTTTCAGGGGGCAGGAGGGATGGGGGGCCATGTTTCTGCGCTGTGCTGCCCGTTCATGGGGCTGAGGAGTGTACCCCGGTTGCATAGCTGATGATGTCCTGGCGGGAGGAGGTAGCTTGGGAAGGAATGTTGGCGGTTGGGGTGGGGGGGTGGGAGTTGGGGGGTGTCGAAGCAGCGGACCTGGGCCCCGCCCACACCCGGCTGCCCTCCGCCCGCAGGCGCGCCTCTTCGATGAGCCGCAGCTGGCCAGCCTGTGCCTGGAGAACATCGACAAGAACACGGCGGACGCCATCACCGCGGAGGGCTTCACCGACATCGACCTGGGTGAGGCCCGCGCCTGTGCGCCTGGGCCGCAGCAAGGCCGAATGGCCGGTGGGAGGGGCCGTGACCGCATCGCCCCCCAAGTGGGCCAGCTGCCGTGAGGGGCCCCGGGAGGGGATGAAGGCTGCGGCGCCCTGGCTAGCTGGCCTACCCGCCCAGGCCCTGCCATGAGACTCTTGCCGCCCCGCAGACACGCTGGTGGCCGTCCTGGAGAGGGACACGCTGGGCATCCGTGAAGTGCGCCTCTTCAACGCAGTGGTGCGCTGGTCGGAAGCCGAGTGCCAGCGCCAGCAGCTGCAGGTGACCCCTGAGAACAAGCGCAAGGTGCTGGGCGCCGCCTTGGGCCTCATCCGCTTCCCGCTCATGACCATCGAAGAGTTCGCCGCAGGTAACGCCGCCCCCGGGGACCCTGGGCACCCTCGGTGACCCTGCCCCACAGTCCGCAGAGCACGGCCCTGGCCCAGAGGCCAGAGGCCCGCAGGAGGAGGATGGCCTGGGGCCCCAGCCAGCGCTCACCCCCACGGCTGCCGAGCGCCTTCCTGTGGAAGCTGACCAGCCCGGTGGCCAGTGCGCGCAGCATTTAGTCAACCCCACGTCTGCTCCGCCCCCTCTGGGGTCTCCCCTGGGGCCCCGGAGCCCCGCCCTCGAGCCTGTGCACTCTGCCCCGCCCCGTGTGCGATCCGGACCCCTGGTGTACTGCGGGAGCCGGGAGCTTGTATGGTGGGCAGCCGCCTCGACGCCTCCCTGCTCGCCTCCTGAGTGTCCCAGCACAGAGATGGTCCCCACGACGTGCGTCCCGAGCGTTTGCTGTGTGTATCGTGTCAAGGGGTGTCTGGGACAGCGTCTCTGCCTCGCCCACGCCCTGCCAGTAGCACCCTGGTCCTTGTGCTGACAACCACAGGGCACTGTGTCCCCTGAGATGGGCTGCCGGGCCAGCCTGCACCGCCGGTGCTGACTTAACGTTCGCCGGCCCATGGCACTGAGATGGTACCCCGCCACGGCCCTGCCCCTCCTCTTGCCAGACCCGACCCCTCCCGGCTTCCCCGACCCCTTCAGCCCATCAGCTCCCTGTCTGCCTGTTTTCTTGGTGAAACCACCCCCCCAGAAACAGCCAGAAGCCCAGCCTGGTGCAGCTTCTAGTGCCCCTCACAGCTGCCAGGACACGTGGCCATGGGCTCATGGGCTCGCCAGCACTGCGCCCCTAGCCTGTGCCCCCTCCGGCCTCCTAGTGAAGGACACCCCTCCCCAAGGCTGTCTGTGGGTGTGAACACGTGTGCGTCTGGTATTCAGTCCGGGTTCTCATCCTGGCTCTGTCCCCTCCGGGGTGCCAGAGAGCGAGCCGCACATGTGGAAGGGGCGCCAATGGTCGCGTCAGGAAGACTCACTGGAGGAGGAGCTGCAGGTGCCGTCTTCACAACACTCCCTGCGAGACTGTCACGCGGTTAGGACATTTCCTGTGCGTGTCTCCACCGCCTCTGTCCCCACCGTGCCCGTCCCCAGTCCGTGTGAGGGCCCGTGACACCCCATCAGGTTGAATAAACACGCTTGTCCCGTGTCCTGTGTCCTTTCCTGCGAGCGAGCCGCCGGAGAGGTGGGAGGGAGGCCCTGGCCCCAGCCCTGCCGTGGCCTCTGCCCAGCTGCGAGGACCCGGGAGCTGTGTGGCAGGCGGCTGTGCCGGTGGGGTGCACAGGGCTGACATGGTGGCCTCACTCGGGACCCAACTTCAGACGCCTCTGCGGCCCTGGCTGTCTATCAGCTCCAGCCCTTACACATCTGTCTGTGGATGTCTGGGGGCTCGCCGCTAGTGGACCCGGGGGCCCTTGGGGGCTGCGAGCCTGGGCACCGCCTGCTGAGAAGCCATCTTTAGTGGTTGCAGGGTGCCTACGTCAAGCTGAGCCCCTGGCCGGGCTGCCCGCGGGGGTCAGAGATTGCAAACAACCCGCCTGTGGGCCTCGCAGGATGCCAGGTAGCAAGGCTCCAGTGGCCGCGGGGGCCAGGGCTTAGGAGCAGGGCTGCAGGCTCCTGGCCCCGCACAGCACGTGGCCATGGCGGATATCTCAGGTGGCCCCTTGAGCCCTCAGCACGTGCTCTGCCCACAGGCCCCGCCCAGTCCGGCATCCTCATGGACCGGGAAGTGGTCAGCCTCTTCCTGCACTTCACCGTGAACCCCAAGCCACGTGTGGACTTCATTGACCGGCCGCGCTGCTGCCTTCGCGGGAAGGAGTGCAGCATCAACCGCTTCCAGCAGGTGGAGAGCCGCTGGGGCTACAGCGGGACCAGCGACCGCGTCAGGTGGGCAGCGGCGGCTGAACATGGGCCCATGGGAGGAGGCTTGGGTCTGAGTGTGTTACACTCACAGGGGCAAATCCGACCCTTCCTATTGGGTCACCATGACTCAGAATCGACCCAGTGATGGGGAGTTTGGGACTGAGAGTTGGGGGTACTGTGAGTCGGGGCCCCTAGCCATAGGGACGCCATTTGTCAGTGCCAAGACCCATAGGAAGTGCAGGCACGTAGCACCAGAAGGTTTGCAGGCTCCTGAGGGGGGCTGGGAGACACTGCAGTCATGTGGGGGGTAGTCGCTAAAGCCATCCCGCCCCCAGGTTCTCCGTGAATAAGCGCATCTTCGTGGTGGGCTTCGGCCTCTACGGGTCCATCCACGGGCCCACCGACTACCAAGTCAACATCCAGGTACCTGCTTGAGCGAGGCCTTGTTCTGCTGAGGGTGTGGGCCTGAGTTGGGGGCGGGTCTCGTGGGCGGTGGCAGGCACTGAGGGCCCTGCCCCGGCCGCAGATCATCCACACGGACAGCAACACCATCCTGGGCCAGAACGACACCGGCTTCAGCTGCGACGGTTCTGCCAGCACCTTCCGCGTCATGTTCAAGGAACCCGTGGAGGTGCTGCCCAATGTCAACTACACGGCCTGCGCCACGCTCAAGGTGCCCACCCCACCGGAACGACCCTATTCACACCCACCCTGACCCTGCCCACTGCCCACTGCAGCACTTGGGACCCTGACCCTAACCTTTACCTGCCAATGGTCATGGGCCCCCGGGGTCCCTAACTGTACCCACCCCCCCACCCCCCAGGGTCCAGACTCACACTACGGCACCAAAGGTCTGCGCAAGGTGACCCACGAGTCGCCCACAACAGGCGCCAAGACCTGCTTTACCTTTTGCTACGCGGCCGGCAACAACAACGGCACGTCGGTGGAGGACGGGCAGATCCCCGAGGTCATCTTCTACACCTAGGCCCTTGGGAGGGGCCGAGCTGCCGCCCCGACCCGACCCGCCCCGCCCCGCACGGGAACGGCGGTCGGGGTTACTCTCAGTGCACACTGCAATGCATTAGGGCCCGCGTCCCGGAGAGACGTGGGGCTCGTTGTGCGTTTTGTTTGAAAGGTCCTGTTGTCCTGTGTTCGCGTCCATTCCCAGGGCCTCCCAGGCCCCAAGGCCCCAGTCTGAGCCTGAGGCCACACCGGCATGCTGTGGGCGTGGGGCCCCGCCCACTTTGCTGGGCCCAGATCGGCTGGTTCCCCAGCTCCTTGGGGCTGAGGCTCAGTGAGACCCAGCTGCCCGCCGACGGGGCTGTCCTGGGGCAGCTGGCCCACATGCTGCATGAGTTGCCCCCGTTGGCCTGCCGGGGCCCCAGGGCGACGCCTGCCTGTACATACTGTGCCCCACCCTAGCCTAGTGCCCAAGTCTGGAGCGTTCACCCCGGCCTGTAGTGACCCACCCCCAACCTCTGTGCCCCCTCCCCACTGTGTATTCCTGCCCAGTGAGT